AAAAATTAGAGAGAGTAAAAGAAGAGAAGCTGCCCGCTGAGGAAGAGGGTCCTCGCCGCATATTCTAACCCGATATAAAAAGGGATAAGGGGAGCGAGCATTACATGTCACCGCGCCACCCCTCATCAGAGCTCGCGAGAATCCTAACGGATTGGAGAGACCTCTGCCCCCTCCCCGGAAGCGATGTGCGCCTGCTCTAAGGCACGGCTCGATGCTCGAGCAGGTGCGAAGACTGGAGGGGCCCTTTGCAGAGGTAGCGCGAATCCGTTAGGATTCTCGCCAGCTCTGCTGAGGGGTGGCGCCGGGCTACGTACCGATCGCTCGACCTCGCAACCCCATATACACCCAGTCTACAAGTACAGGGAAGCAACATCAGCAGGCAGGAGGACGCGTTTGAGTTCAAACTCCACCAGCAATTTGGATTGATTCCACGCGCGCCTCCCGGACAGGGGACGACCTGGAGTCCTGTGGAGGGCGGTGTGAATTACTCATGACATAATGAATACGGCTCATGGATCGATTACCAAATTTGGATTGCTTCTCTCTTCGTGCGTCCGCACATACAGGCGAACGCCAATGGCCTCGCTCGCCATCAGGCAGCCGGCCTCCGCATCTATTCAGTCGCCCCGCCCGCCCACGCCGGCGACTGAAGTTACATTCGATTGTTCCATCGATTGATGAGTCTTGTCCAAGCCTAGACGACTAGTCTTGTCCCGCCCCGGGTGTGTCGTGTGCCATCCGGTGTTCCCCGTGGTGTTCTAGTGTGGTGGGGGAGGCTCAGCGCCCACCACCCGGGATAGGTTTCGTCAGTATCGGCGTCGCATCGGCGGCGCCGATACAGGGACCGACCGAGGGAGTAGGCTAGCGCTTGTGGGCAAGAAGAGCGCATTACTCAATACAACTACACGTGCACGGCCATCTCGTGCAAGTCTTATGGCTCGAGCAGGTGCGAAGACTGGAGGGGCCCTTTGCAGAGAGAGAGGCTTGCCCTAAGGCTAAGTCGTCGTACCTCGTTGTTACTCGAGTACCCTGTTCGGGTGACCGATGGCTGGGAGTGGACGTCGCGAGGAGGCGGGGCGACCAGAACGGCTGCGTGGCCGTGCAAAAAATAAGAATTGCCCCATATACTGCCTCGCACAACACTGGGCACGGGAAAGCCTCATGATGTGTATTGCACCACTTCCGTATGCCTGCAGGGTATCTTTAACCGAGCCCTCCGAGCCCTCCACACCCTGCACACCCCTCCGCGAGCCCTCCGAGCCCCCCGAGCCCTCCGAGCCCTCCGAGCCCCTAGGCCTAGCCGAGCCCCCCGAGCCCAGCTCGGTGGCTCGCCCCTCCGAGTCCTCCGGGCACTCCATCCCTCATGAGCCCTCCCGAGCCCTCCCGAGCCCTCCAGCGCCACCCTCGTGCCTCTCTGCCCTCCGAGCCCTCCGAGCCCTCCGAGCTCTCCACCCCTCCCGAGCCCCACCCCTCGCGCTAGGGACCCTCTTGCCGGACGACACCCTCCGAGCCCTCCAAGCCCCCCGAGCCCTTCAGACCCCTCCGACAGTCCTCCATCCGCACAGCCCCTCCGGCCCCTCTAGCCCCCTCCGACCCCTCCAGCCCTCTCTAGCCCACTGGACCCCTCCCACACCTCGCTTTTGGCCAGCCCTCCAAGCCCTCACCCCTCCGAGTGCCCTCCTGGGGCCCTGCCGCCTGACACCTCTATCGCCTATCGGGTACGACAATGGCACGACAAGGTCGGCGTGGTCTCCCGATCCTCCTCCTTCTCCTCGCCGACAACGGGACCGTAGTCGCCAGGCGAAAGGCGTCCGACGCGGCTCACGATGTGGTACCACGCGACGGCACGCTCTGCCGACTCACCTTGCGGGACATTCTATGCAAAACGGCACCACAGGTGCACCGGCTTCGGTTCGCGCTCCCAACGGTTGCGAGCGGCGAACCCGCGTGCTGCGGCGGCGCTGGCGGTGGCATCGTCCACGTCATGATCCGAGCTCCCGCCGTCTTCAATCAGAGCGAGAGAATCGCGCCGTACTCAGCTACGCTCGATGGCGATGGCTCGTTCTCAATCGTCGTCAAGATTTACCCTGGCGAGCCGCCGGCTTACGCCGCCGTATCCGCTCACCTCGGATCTCTACCGGTCGGTGAGTACGCGCACGTCCCGTCGATTCGGGCGCAGGACTGGCGGCGGGACGCGGCTCGCGTGGGGATGCTCTGCTTCGGAGTCGGCCTGGTGGAGTGCCTCCACCCTGCAGAGGCGCTCCTCGCCGCCGGCGCACAGGTCCGGATCATCAATGCGGCGCGCCGCCGCAGCGACCTGATCCTCCTCCCTCGGCTCCGCGCGCTGCTGTCCTCCCACCCCGCCTCCCTCTCGGTGCTGCACCGCCTCTCCCGACCCGAGGGGGGGCGAGGGGCGGAGGCGGGAGGCGGGGACGGGGCCGGCGAGGCGGGAGGGGGGCGGGGGGCCGGCGCGGCGTCGGGGTGGGGCAGGGAGCGGACGGCCGACGGGCGCGTCGACGCCGCGGCGGTGGCGTCCGAGTTTGGGACAGGCGCGTGGTCGGGCGGCAGCACGCCTCCGCCGCCGACTCACTTCTATGTCGTCGGGACGGCGGCACAGGAGCAAGCCTTTCTTGGCATGCTGTTCGCCGCGCACCTCGCCGACCCGAGATCGCTCCGAGGTTGCGCAAAGCTTCCGCTGGGCGGTTGCGGTAGCGCGGCCGCGAGTGCGTGGAGAGCAGTCCGGAGCACGATGACCATAGGTCATCCACCTTTCCTGTTGCAGCTCGGGCCGTTCGGAGATCATCCACACTCTCGAGTCACCCCCCCCCCACAGAGAGAGCTGCGGACCGTGGCTGCTAACGTCACCATGAATAGGCGACCACTCGGGCTGGCGGCCGCTCTCGCCCCCGGAGCTGGCTGAGGAGGAGGCGGGGGCGGCGGAAAACGACGAACTCTGAGGAGAAGTAACTGAGCTCTGACGTCTTTGAGAGGCTGTCTGAGCGACGGCGAGGGCACCGCACCTCCGGACCTCGCGGCATTGGGCTTGGTTTGGGACATTTGGACGCCGGCCACCATCGCCACAGCGGCCCATACACAGGCCAGGCTGCCACAGAAAGGAAAGTGTGACTAAAACGTGCGCTCGCCAGCAAGCAGGGCCTTTCCGAGAGAGAACACACACACACTCACACACACAGAGAGGCCGACGATAGAACCAAGCCTGAAAAATAAATCGCCCAGCCGCCGACATTCGCGGTGTCCCGCACCATGTCGGCACGTCCCCTTCGACACCCGCTCCCTTCGCGTCCAACTCGCCCTCAATCAACATGCTCTCGTTCTCGCTCCTCGTGTCCGGCATGGCGCCCGTCCCCGGCGACAAGAACCGATGCGTGCGTGCTGCCCACATACTCTCTCTGCCCCTCTGCCCCTCTGCCCTTGCACGGCATGCGCCAGCGACAAGAAAGAACGTCTGCGCGTGCGTCTCTGCCCACATGCACTCTCTCTGCTCCCCTTCGCCCCGCGCGCGTCGCGACACCACTCTCGCAACCCCACGCGCGCCGCCCGCGCTCCCACTCTGCCCCGCAACCCTGAAGCGCGCCGCCCGCCCGCGCCGCCTGACCGACTGCTCTGCGGCCGCAGTACGATATGTTCGAGCACAAGTGCTACTGCGAGCTCTCCGAGCAAGAGTGCGCGGACAAGCACCACATCAACATCTGGACCGAGACGTGCGTCAAGCCGTGCACCAGCGATGGGGACGGCGTCGGCTGCTACAACCAGGCCGGCGACCACAAGTGAGCATCGCCCGGCCAAACCGACGCCGCCCCGCCCGCCCCCTCCCGCCCCCTCGGCGCTTACCGGGCCCCGCCACCCGTCCCGCGCAGGTGCGACTGTGCGCTCGCCGAGGACGAGTGCACCGACGGCATGTGGACCTCGGCGTGCTCGTGGTGCGTCGGGCCCATCCCGGACGGACCCGAGGGCTGCTACGACATGACGGAGCACAAGTGCGACTGCGACATTTCCGAGGCCGACTGCAAGATCCCTCACGTCTGGACTGAGGGCTGTGCCTCGTGCTCCTCGTCGAGCGCCCGCACGCCCGCCGTCGGCCTCGCCGCGATTCGCTAAGTGCAGCCCCTGGGCCCAGCCCGGCGCGGCCAAGCCCTGTAGCCTGCGGCTCGGCGCGCTGCCCACAGCGCGGCCCAGCCCTGTAGCCTGTGGCTCGTCTCGCCGGCGCCCGGCATGCCGCTTACCTTTGCGACTGCGCGAGCCAAGAGCCCCTTCCCATTTTTTGTGCTCCCGTTGCTCGGGATGTTTTGGCGGTGGGTGGAGGGGTGTCCGTGCGGTCGTCGTGTGGCGCGTAGTAGCTCTGTCTGATGAGGATGGTCCGATGGAAAGGATTGTAGACGGCGGCACGGTGTTCGTTCATCCTACGCACGTTCGGTCATCGTTGCGAAAGTGAAACCTCGACGCGAGACGGAGAGCGAGAGGAAGTGGGACTCCCAGGCTGCACCTGCAGGCTGGCGCGACTGGCGGTGGCGCTGCAGGCAGCTGCCAGCTCCCCAGCGCCGCTCCTCAGCTGCCGCAGCGCGAGAGGGCGAGCGGCCGGCAGGTGCTCCTACCACGAGCACCAGGACCTGCAGGTGTTCTCTCTTCTCTCTTCACAGGATTCCTCAGAGAGAAACATTCGTCATTCCTTGCGGGCGCAACTTTTTTTCCGGGATCCGGCTAATTATGGTGCATGGCGGGTGGTGGTGGCGAGTGATTTATACTTCTGTTGCATGTAGAGTCAAGAGTATGCGCTCACCCCCCACCCCCCACCCCACCCAAATATACACACACGATCATGAGAGATCATCATGCATGGACCCTAGACGACGTAGACCGTTCCCCCCCCTGCCGCGCGCCGCCGCCGGCGCACCCCGAGCTTGTCACGGCTCACGCCGCCCGTATCGAGCGGGGGAGCGGTTCAACATATCGTACGCCCGAGGAGTCCGATTTCTCGGGCAGAATGCACTAGGCGCGGGATGGGGGAGAGAGGAAGGCAAACTGCTTCGCGCGGCTGCGGCACCTTTGAAGGATCGCCCCTTCCTCGAGGCACCCTATCGGTCCACCTTTGTCGAGAGGAGCAGGCACCTCTCCGGCGCCGAGATCGCGGTGATGGATGAGACGACCACCACCTCGGCCACGCCGCCCCCCTCGCCACGCGTGTACATCCGGTGCCTCACCTGCGCCTGCTGCACCCTCGTTTCGCCGGCGTGCTCGCGCTTGTTGGCAAAGGGCAGGGCGGCGGCGCGCTGCTCAAGCTCGGCGCGTTCAAGAGGGTGGCAGCTGAGCAGCAGGCTGTGGCCGACGAGCGATGCGGACTCGCGCCCAAGAAAGCTTGTGCTCACCCCGAAGCGCACCGTCCAGTCCTCGTTGAGGAGCAAAAGCTCGTGCCCGCTGGCACTGAGCCGCTCCAAGTGGTGCCGCTCGAAGCCGAGGATACGTGCGCCTTGTGGCAAGCCCGATGCCTCCGGCTCGGCTGTCACGTCCGCTCCGGCGGCCTCCTGTTGGCCATCTGAAGTCGGCGTTGCGCCCCCTTTGCAGGCGGCGCCGCCGTGCTCAGCCGCTTGTGAGGCAGCGCAGAGCAAGCCAAGCATTTCGTTTGCGGTCGTCGCCCGCTGGGCAACGCATGCTGGTCCGGCCAACATGCGTGAGACTAAGTCGAGCGCGTCGGAGAGGTGTTCGACACCGAGTGCTTTGCTGTTCCGACCACTGTTCCGGCTCTGGGGGTGCTCCTGGTTCTCTTTAGGTTCCGCTAGGGTGGTGAATCTTTCCTTTTTCTTCGACAGACATCTTGCGTCGTTTGTAGGGCCGCTCCAAGTCCCGACAAAGAGGGTCTCTCTTCCATCAAGGCCGACAGCGTGGCCAACGAAAGGGATTAATACGGGCCCTGCTCCCTCCGAGCCAACCAATACGCGCCTCTACGAGTCGTCGCTGTCGCTGCCAGAGAACAAGTGTGAGTGTTAGAGTTGTTTGGTATTGCTAAAAATCTCTCTCTCTGCCAGAGCCATCGGCATCGCCGAAGCCAAGGAGCGTAGCAAAGTCGGCAAGCAAGAGCAAGTGTATTTTATTTTTGCTTGGGCGGCCCTCATGACGGGGTAGGTAGGGTAGGTCTGGGCCCTCCCGTCGGGTTTTCCCCTCTCTTCACGCTGGAATTTTCACAGCAGAAAAAGAAAATTTCCGGCCACGATGTCAAACGTCGTCCCCAAATGGGTGATCTGATGCTTTTGTAGGGCCTGAGAGTGGCCTGCCATGTCACAGGAAGGACTGTGGTTGCAGGAGAGTACCACCATCCATCACTCTAGTTGGTATAGTACCCCACCTTCACCCATCCAGTGATTTCTTTTTTAGTTTCCCATAAGTAGGGTAGGTAGGTAGGTAGGTAGGTAAGGGCAGAGGGCAGGGGCCGGCCAGGTTTTTGCAGAATTTCATCAAAGCCGCCCCCTGGGTAGTACATGTTTACTGCGGGCTCGCCCGGCGAGTACGACAAGAGCATCTCCGTCAGCTCCCTCTCTTGTCCGAAGAGCGACATTGCTAGCGCTGGCATGCAGCTCTCCATCATATGCAGGAGGCGGCGCGTGAGCACTGCATCGACATAAAGCGTTCCCAGCTTGGCGCCAACAGAGCCCAGCCTGAGGTGTCCAGCGTAAGGTAAGTGCGACGGTGAACAGTGGTTGGATGTGCGGCCCGGCGAGGCGCCGGTAGCGTGTCTGCTTTGCCGGCGACGAGCTGATCTGATCGTTCGCTGCAGCGACAAGAGCAGCGCACTCGTTCGCAGTCGCAAAATCGGCAACCGTGACGCTGCCGTGTACAGCCAGTGTTCTCCCAACGATTGGGGTAGCACCTCCATGCGGGGGCGAGCGCCCCAAGGTCAGACCGTGCGCGAGGTCAGACGACGGTGCGCGTGGCCAGACTTGAGTGCGCGAACGAACCTCGGATTTTTCTGCCCATTCTTCTTCTTTTAAAGGGAGAGTTAACCCTGGTAGGTGGACAAAAGTCTGCGTTTTTCGGCCTCCCCTCCCTAACATTAGCCGGCCAAAATGTGCTCCTACCGGCTAATATTAGGGAGGGGGGGGGCGGTCGGGTGTCAGACCTAGCGCTAGGCGTGCGAGGCTGACGTATTTTGGACAATCCACCTACCAGGGTTAAGGGGCAAAGTCGGCTTTCCCAAAAAGGCCTGTTTTCTCGTTTTTCATGCACACCCGGACACAGCCGAGCCTCAGGCGCCCAAATCGGGGGCTGTGGGGTAGACACGGCACCGGAGGCTTGGCCCGGGGGCGAAGTGAGGGGCGGCGAGGGCGATCGCGAGCACCAAGGCGACTTGCGGGAATCACTGCTGCAACACCAGTGGCGCCCAGTCCGACGGCCTGACGGCGACTCATGGACTTTTCACGGGGGGGGAGGCTGCCCACGTGTTGCGTATGACCTATGCGCGTGTAGCGGCTGCCGTATCGCCATTGTTGAAGTGAATAATGAAGTTATCTTTCGCTGGGGGCAGCCCGGCAAGGCTACTGCGAGGCCGCAGCAGCAACACACAAATACGGCCGCCGGGGACCGATCGGCCGAGACGGCGAGCGCATGACCAGGGGAGCTGGCAGACTGTCCTCACGGACCAAGACACATAGCTGAGAGGGCACCTCCGACGCTCAGCCACCAGTATCAGTGTATCTCTCAGCTGAGCCTGGAGTTGAGGCTCGGGCCGTCACGGGAGGGGAGCACGGTTTCATCGGAACTGTCGCGCAGACACGAGCGGCAGCACGCGCCAGCGCGGTGGCAGGGGTCGAGTTGCGATCGCCTATGCGTTGAACAGAGGAGTACTGGCTCCTCTCTGCCTAGAGTTTAGCATCGGGTAGACCAGAGCAAGGTTGAACTCGATGAAGCAGCCCCAAAATACGAGCAGCGACCGACGCGGAATCCAGGCTCCAGGTTGCCCGCTGCCGCGCATGGCATCGATAGAATGCAACAGCAAGCGCTGATATGCAACCTCCTCGAAGCCATCAAGCTCGATCAAAGTGAGAACGAGTGCGAGCGGGAAGAGCACGAGAGAGCCGATGGCAGCTGCACTCTCTGATGCCCACGAGATGCTGGTCCACCTAAAGTTGAAGCTGTCAGCCAGAGGATCGTGGATCGGGGCCACCGTCTGGTATGTCGGCACTTTGTCCAGGAAGGAAGAGAACACGCAGGCAAACATAATCAACGCCTGCAGGAGGACCAGAAACACGGAGAAGAGCAGTGGGAGGTCAACCTGCCCCGTTGAGAGGCTGTCGCGGAGGAGGGTTTGTGGACAAGCCCTCCGCGGTGACTCGGGGCGATTGGAGCCGCGAATGGAGCTCGCAACGGAGTGACGAGGCGCATGTAACGACCCCCGGGGGTCCCGATAATCGAATTGAGGAGGACGGGCGGTCCCACTGTGTGTAACGAACCCTCTGAACGCCGCACAGAGTCGTGTGAGGGCCTCATAGGGAGGCCCTGTCGTTCAGTCTCGGGCCGCCGGCAGGCTCCTGACTCCAGTCCGTGAGTGCGACAGAGTGTCACATTCACCCCAGTCCCCCCCTTTGAGCAAACGTAAACCAACTTAGACCAGCTGAGGATCTCAATACGCAAGCATAGACGCAAGACCGAGCATTGACGTTACTACGTACCACCTTGACCTGACTGCACCACGCATTGGACCATCGCTCCGACAGCGATGGAGGAGCTTCACCACGACGACCGAACCGCGGAGTGCCAGCTGCCCCCCTCGAGGGGCACATCGCGGCCAAGGGCAGCACCCAGGCTTCACCAACTTCACCATGTACCTTGCCAAGGCCAAGAAAGGGAGGGCGGCCACGCCGACAGTCGGACTGTCGGCGGCCTGACGGCCGCCCACCCCGGGGACGATGGGACCCCCGACCCAAATCCCGTGCACCACCCTTCCAGCGGGCGAGTCAACCAGCCCCGCGCGGCCGAGCAATTAGCGCCTCCAGCCCCCCTCCGTGTCGCGATGCGCTCCCCGCTCCCGTTCCCCTGTGTCCCTGATCGTCCTTACAAGATCCTGCTCGCGCAGGTGGGGACCCTGTCCTTCTCCCACCCCTTGTTTGGTGTGTCCGTTTTGTTTGTTTGTCGTGGCTGTTTTCTTTCTTTTTTTTCCCGCACTAGGCAACAAAACTCTCTCTCTCTCTCACCCTAGGCACGGAACTGGCGCTCTCTGGCGCGCGATAATTTTACAGAAAGAAAGAAAGAAAACAAGCAAAAGGCACAGTTTTTTTCTTTTTTAAGGTGTGGATAGGGTGGGCACATCGCGCCCCCCCGGGGGGCCGATGTCGCGTGGTTGACCGATTGGGGCGCTGGCGGCGGTTCGCTCCGGTAGAGGCTGCCCGCGATGCCACGCTCGTTTGCGGCCTGGAACGAGAAGCGGCGCCCGATCGCTCGCTGTGCGACATCTCCTCACGCCGAGCCACCCGAAGGGTTCTCGCACACACAGCCCACAAGCCCGCAGATTCAGGGCCTCAACATCGACGAGCTGGTGTCGCAGCTGACAGAGAATGAGCTGATGCTCGCGCCCTCGGCGGCCTCGCTCCAGCCAGCGCTGCTGCTGGGCTCAGAGGCAGAGTGGAGTCCGCCGCCTGACACGGCGCTCATTCATCCCGTCGCCGCTGGGCAGCCGGGCGAGTCGGGCCGCGACTCGGCGGCGATGGAGACGGACGCGCTGCCGCTCGCGGCGTGCCAACTGGGGCCCGGCACCTGCGCCATCGCGATGCACCCGGCGGCGCATGTCCCTGCGCACCTCCATGCGCCTGTCGGAGGGCTGGCAGTGCAGCTTGGGCCAGAAGTGCAGCTTGCCCAGCCAGTGGAGGGCAGCGCGGCGCACCTCGGCCGGGCGACCTTCGCGGCGGCGGGGCCGAGCAGCGACGAGGGCGCCACCGAGCCTCCCCTCGTGTGGTCAGCCTGCCGCTGCCCCGTCTCCGCCGACTCAAACGGCGTCGCTCTTCTGCCGAGAGAGATGAGACGAGATGGGGCGAGCTCACCCTCACCCTCACCCAACTGCAGGCGTGCCTATCGTGCCGGGCCCGGCGGGGATCGCGTCGGTGTCTGGGTACGCAGTTGCGGTCCGGCTGCACTCGCCGCTGCTCTACTGGGCCGAGCGATCGCGCTGGATGTGGCACAAGAAATGGTGCCTTCCGCGCATCACCGCCCCTCGCCATGACTCACCGACGAGTACTCAAACAGCTCCATTCATTTCCCCCAACAGGTGCCTTCCGCGCATCACCGTCCTCGTCACCGAGCCCCCGCCTCCCGCCGGCCACCCCACCCTCTCGGCTTGCGGCGTGCCGCTCGTCGCTATCATCTCGTGCGGGACCCTCCGGCCGGGCGAGAGATGGCCGAGAGATGGCCGAGAGATGGCCGAGAGATGGCCGAGAGATGGCCGAGAGATAGCCGAGAGGTAGCCGAGAGATAGCCGAGATATCGCCCCCTCGGCGTCGTAGTGGCTTTGCACAGCCAGCAGGAAGGAGACTCACGTAGGCGCGGCGGAGCTCGGAGACCAGGGGCTGTCTCTTCTAGGAACCTTCCAGGAACCTTCTAGGAACCGTCTAGGCGCGGCGGAGCTCGGAGACCAGGGGCTGCACGGCGAGTGCTCGCAGCGGCTCCACATGTTGGGCGTTGAGCTCGAGGCGCGAGATCGCTTGAGATTGGCCGAGAGTACGCCGAGGTCACAGGTCGATCTCGAGGGGCTTTCTCTCCGCACCTCCCCGCACCTCCCCCAAACTTCCCAACATCTCTTCCGCACCCTCCCCCGCACTTCCCCGGCATCCCTCCCCGGCATCTCCCCCCCATTCTCTTCCGAATCTCCCCGCATCTTCCCCGGTTGCCTCGACAAGGTGAACCCTTCTTCCTCCCTTGCAGGCTGGCTGGAAAAACCTTCCTTTCAAACTGCGGGGAAAACCGCCGCTCTTTCCACCCTTCGGTGATTCACCGGGGGCCTGCCCCA